GGGGGGGGAGAGATATTGGGGTCCGTAACTGAGCGACGTTCGCGGCAGCCAGCCTCACCCTGATCCTGTTACCCGGCGGGTGTAGCGGGTGGCCTAGCTCTGGGCGTGCCCGGGGCCAGGCAGGCCAGGCAGACCAGCTAGCAGCCTGCCTTACTTGTCGTGTTGGGAAACCTCTCAAGGGCGATACTTAAGCCTCGCCAGGGGGTGGAGGGCTGTCATTGCAGGGGGTGAAGCGAAGTGAGTGTGTCGCGGTCGGTCGCAGTCGGTCGCCGCCGTTCGAACCGAACCGTTCGGGTTTGAATCACCGACCGGTTTTTACAACTCGCACCGCTCTTCGAAAGACAAGAACTGCCGGAGAGGCCGACCAGGGCCAACGCAGGCCACCCTGCAAGACCCGCTTAAGCGTGCTTATTTCGCGTTCCGTCGCTAGTGACTTAGCTGTCAAGGGTCGAGTAGGGCCGCGCAACGCGCCCCGCACGGTCCAACCATGATCCCCGTCATCTTCCTCGCCCTCGTCGTGGCGGTCAAAGTGTTCAAGAAGACGACCCCCAACGGTGAGAATATCTGATGGACTTCCAGCCGCTGCCGCCAGAGGCGTGTTTCCGAGGGGTAGAAACCCCGGTCTATGCCAGCTGGCTGCTTCACGACGCGTACTTTCGTAGTTATACTGTACCGCATGCACGGGTGCGGGCGGGTTTGCCCATGCTCGCAGGCCACGGCTCGTTACGACCCCGTGCGAGTAGGCAATCCGCCCGCACGCGTGCATGCGGTACAGTATAACTACGAAAGTGCGCGGCGTGAAGCAGCCACCTGGTGTAAAAACGGCCACCAGCCTCTCTTTGCCTATCCAGATTCACGTCGAAATCAAAAGTTTAACCCTTGTACACCACCTCCTCCCCACCTTCTACACATGCCCCGCTCTTCCCGAGACTTCGTGCACAAAGTTCACGCTCCTCTCTATTGCAGGTAAAATCACGGTCTACCTGGGGAAACGAGACTTTATCGACCACCTCGACCATGTGGACCCGATCGACGGCATCCTTGTGGTGGACAATGAATACCTCAAGGGTCGAAAAGTATACGGACAGGTAAGTTGGCATTCCCCCGGCCCAGTGTTCGAACCTCCTCAGGACCAACAATTTGTTTGCGCTTCCCTAGGTGACGACCACGTACCGATATGGTCGCGAGGAGGATGAGGTCATGGGGGTCAAGTTCAGCAAGGAGATCGTGTTGGCCCGCGAACAGATCGTGCCGATGACGCACCACGGCGACGACAAGATGGAGCTCACACCCGTGCAGGACAAGCTCGTCAAGAAGCTCGGGCCCAACGCGTACCCCTTCACCTTCAAGTTCCCGCCCGCCTCGCCCTGCTCCGTCACCCTGCAGCCCGGCGAGGACGACTCGAGCAAGCCCCTCGGCGTGGAGTACACAGTGAAGACGTTCGTCGGCGAGAACTCCGAGGACCGCGGTCATAAGCGCTCCTCAGTGTCCCTCGCCATCAAGAAGGTAAGCGCCGGCTTTCGTTCGTACCCCTCTGTCGTCGATTGTGTTTTTCTCTCACCCACTGATCCTGCTCCTCCAGCTGCAGTACGCGCCGCCGACCCGGGGCCGCCGCCTCCCCTCCTCGCTCGTGTCCAAGGGCTTCACCTTCTCGCAGGGCAAGATCAACCTGGAGGTGACGCTAGACAAGGAGATCTACTATCACGGCGAAAAGTTGGGCGCCAACGTGACCGTCAACAACAACTCCCGCAAGGCCGTAAAGAACATCAAGGTGAGGCCGCGGCCGAGAGGGGACCGGAGGGGACGCGGGGTTTAAAGAGAAAGAGGGTGTCTCGTCATGGGCGGTGCAGTGGCGGAGCGGGGTGGGGAGGGGAGGGATGGAGCCCTGCCGCCGTAGCACCACCAATTGAATTAACCTGCTTTTCTGGCCCCACTGCGGCTGCCGGAAGGAGGAGGCATGGGGGTAGGGGCGGGGAGGACAGAAGTCAAGGGAAAAGAAGGTCAAATGTTACATAGTGAGCCATTGGCACCTGCGCCCCGCTCCGCTACCCCCCAAACCCCCATTGGGAAAACTCATCTGACCCACTTCCGCTGGTCGTTTCCGTTCCAGGTGTACGTCGTGCAGCACTGCGAGGTGACCATGGTCAACGCCCAGTTCTCCAGGCACGTCGCCTCCCTCGAGACGAGGGAGGGCTGCCCCATCACGCCGGGGGCCTCCTTTACCAAGACATTCTATCTCGTCCCATTGGCGTCCTCCAACAAGGACAGGCGCGGCATCGCGCTCGACGGCTACCTCAAGGATGACGACGTCAACCTGGCGTCCTCTACGCTGGTGGCCGAGGGCAAGGCACCGAGCGAAGCGATGGGCATTGTCATCTCGTACTCGCTGCGCGTCAAGCTCAACTGCGGAACACTGGGCGGCGAGCTGCAGACGGACGTGCCCTTCAAGCTGCTGCACCCCGCGCCCGGTACACAACCACCCCTCTCATCTAGCCGACACAGCGTCCTGTGTTTATTCTTCTCTATAATGTAATAATCTCTTTCCCTCGACAGGGACCGGAGCGGGAGAGGGTGGCGAGAAGAAGTCGGCGATGAAGAAGGGCAAGAGCCAGGAGCGCTCTCGCTACGAGAACTCGTGCTACGCGGATGACGACGAGGACAACATCGTGTTCGAGGACTTCGCGCGGCTGCGACTCAACGAGCCTGACGAGTAAGGGGTGCACGAGCGGCGCGTAGGCCTGGGAAGGGGGTAGGACGGACGCCGCCCGCCCCGGCCAGAGGCCTGACCAGAGGCCCCGGCCAGAGGCCCCGGCGAGCAGACCAAGCAGGTCACCAGCTCATTCCAAACACTTCCCTGGCTGAACGCGGAGGCCGAATTCTTCTTCTCAGAACGTGAAGTCCAAGAAGGGCTCACAGCCGCGTGGGTCCTTCCCGGCCTGGAGGCGCCAAACACACCAGAGAATCCCCGTTCCGCTATACTGTGCATCTTTTGAAAATGTATATCGACTTATCATTTGCCGAGGAAAATAAGCGGGGGAAACTATGGCCATTTCTCCAGAGACACCCCTCTCACCGACTTCTTTTTCATTTCCGTTTGTTCATTTAAGCAAGTACACAGTCATTAACTTTTGGTAGAATAGGCCGCAGCGTCTTTTCTCTTTTTGCTAAACCATGAGAGCATGTTTCCTTTTCGACACAAGCCCCGCCATGTTTCGAAAATATCTATCTATAAATTTGTAGTGATAATATAATAATAACGTGATAATCCGTGAGCGTGCGTCTGCGTGCAAACGCGTTTGTGTATGTATGTGTGTATGTGTGCGTGTGTACTGCGTGTGTACTGCGTGTGTACTGCGTGAGCGTGAAGGTGAGCGACTGAGTCTGAATGGCGTTGATGGTGATATGATCCTCCGCGCTCTAGAGGTCTAGCTTTGAGTCGGAGCTTTGAATGAGGTCTAATTTGCATAAGCGATCGATGTAATCAGCCAGTGCGAACATTTATAAACCTCGACTTATACTTAAAAAAATACTGTAAGACACGTAGGCAGGTCAACGGCATTTTTATCCTGCCACTGATTTGTATACCTGTAAGATTCTGTTTTTTGTACCGATTGATGGTTCTATGATAGAACCTTGATAGGACCGATAGAAGTTGTATCAGTCCAGTCTATTAATTGATCGAACACATTGTAATTGTCTCCATCGTTTTCTATAACTTGAGCCATGAAATATTTTTGCTCAAAACTTTTATTGAAAGCCACAGAGAATGGAAAAATCATGATCAAGTTTCCTTTAGAATGAAGTAATGGTGTAAAAATGGACACTACATAAGTACTAGGCAATCGATAAGGGAAGGACATTGTGAGTTAACTTGTCTGTGGCAAACCCTTTTAGAGTAATCAATTTTTATAGGTTTTGTCAAAAAAAATCCATCCATACTTCTCGGAGAAACAAAATTTAACATATAAAATAACCTGAATGAGTATCAGAAAGTAACTGGAAGGAGCGCTTTTGCGCAAATCGCCCTGTATAATTACTGTATCTTCATCTACGATCTATGATCTATGTTCATCAACTCAATACTTTGTAAAAATATTTCGTGCCAATAAAAAGCATTTCCATCACAACACAGTTATTCGAAAGTCAATTAGCAGTGAATGGTCCCCGAATAATATTTCCATATCTGGCACGAGGCTCTCGACCCATCCCCGCGATTTACCACATAAAAAAGGTCACCCTTGCCGTCCCGCAGCACGCGCCTGGGGTGAGGCTGCTTCACCTGTGGGTCTCCTCTCCACTGCACCTGTGGGGTGGGGAAGGAGGGGGACCCTCACAAACATGAAAAAAAGGCGGGGGGTGACGGTCGTTTGAAAAGGGGGAAGAAAAAAAAGACCCCCCCCTCCTTCCCCATACTCCTTTAGACACGCGACAAGGACCCCGCACCCCGCGGTGGTCTTCGTTGACCGACCAATGCCGGATCGAAGAAATTGAAATTCTAGAAGAACGATTGACGATTGGGAAGGTAAAACCGCAGCCTACCCAAGGAAAGCGTTTTCCTCACGAAGACGTCATTGTGATCTCTTTCTGACTTTCGAGGTAACAACGAGGTCTTCGTGAGAAAGAATACGTTTTCCTTCAGTACTCAACTGGTTGCCTCGTCCTCGGAAAACACTGAAAATTTGGCGAGATTTTCATGTTGATTCATCGCAACATTCCCGCAACAACCCCTTTCGGCTCCTCGAAGAAGACGAGTGTCCCACTACGCCGCGCCACTCCGCACGCATTAGCATGTACTGCCGGCCGGGCCGTGACCACCCCTCCGGAGCCGGGGATCACCCAGAGACAATAGGGGAGGCAATCAAAGGAGTCTCGGGGGAGAAGGGGAGGGAGGGCCGCAGCCGGGTCAGCGCGGACCTGCCGGTGTCCGTGTGGGAACGTCCGCAAGGTGCGCGCCGACCAGGCGCGGCCCGCTCGCCGACCCCTGACCCGAGGGTGACCCGAGGGTGACCCGAGGGTGACCCGAGGGTGACCCGGTGGGGTGACCATACGGACCACGGAGCACAAAGGGGTTAACGACGACGATGATGAGGGGACCGACACCGGCGCGTCGCCGTGAGAAACAAACACGGAAGAGAAAGAGGCGAGCGGGGCGTGTCCGGCCTGGCGTGCGGACCGTGTCCACGAGGTCCACCCCAGGTGTCCACCCCGCGGTCAGCACGCGGTCAGGATCGAGACGGAAGGTGGCAGCAGCCAGGCGGCAGCCACGTGCGGACGGGGAGACAGGTGTTCGTTGACCTGCCAGGCACCGCTCAACAGAGCCATTAAGATGCCGACACATGTGACTTTTCCCCCGTTCACGGCGGAGATAAAAATTATGTCAAAAATTTGACCGTTCGTCAACGTACAGTGCACTTGAACTGAGCAGTTTGATCATACAGGATGGTCCACAGACCCCTTCCTTTCTTTTGCTTATACTGTACCGCATGCAGGCGTGCGCGCGGACTTGCCTACCGTCGCTCACCGCGGCGCCTTATTGCTCCGTGCGAGTATGCAACCCGTTCGCACGCCTGCCTGCGGTACAGTATTAGCAAAATAAAGGAAGGGGTCTGTGGACCACCCTGTATAAGAAAATGAGTTTCCACCTTAATTTGGAATTCCCTGACTGTGACCAGATCCGCGAGGGTCGTTTTACCCTCGCGTTTATCGTTCGAACACTGAACTTTGAGCCTTGAGTCAAGTCTCCCACAACATCCTCATCAAAACCCTTAACTCCCTAGTATCTCACCTTGCGTCTCTTTTCCAGGCAAGTACAGTAGGGCGGTGAGTCGGTGGTGTCCGGCGACCCGCTGCCTGTCCTGGCGGGGCTGACCACGGGCGTTCCGGGCGTTCCGGGCGTTCCGGGCGTTCCGGGCGAGGCGGGCTGCTTGGCGGTGGCCGCGGAGCGCGCGGGGGTGGCGGGGGCGGTGGGGCACGAGTACGGCGCGGCCGCCTCCAAGCTCTCTTGCGCCACCGGCATCGCTTCTGTATCCGCACGCACTGCTGCTGGTTTTGCCCCTTTTTGTCGCCTCCTCGGCGCCGTGATCCGGCCCCTTTAATTCCTTTTTGCCGGGCGGGTGGAGGCGCTATGCAGAGTCACGCCGGAAGCGGGGCCGCGTGTGTTTCGCAAAGGATCCAGCAAAAACCGACGTTGTGGGTCAAACTTAGACGGTGATGTGGTGGCCGTGGAGACGGAGGTGCAGCAGGGCCGGGCGATGCGTCTCGAGGAGCGGTCGGACTCGGACTGACTGGAGGCTCCGGCTCCGGGACACTGGAGGGATGCAGACCACGTGACCAGCCGGGCTCGGCCTGCTCAGGTGTCGGACGGCACCGACCATTCCCACGACGCGGACCTGCCTCCGTCGTCTCCTACCCCCCTCGCCTCTCCCCTGCCCGTCCGAACCCTTCCCTCTGTCCCTCCGAGTCCGCGTGCCTCGGTTGGCTGCCGCTGGTGTTGGACGAGGTCCTTCGGCCTGACCCCTGTCCCGCGTCGCCCCCATCTTCCCCTCGCCCTTCCATTCAAGTAACCAGTGGCTATTTCATAACCTACGCGACCATCGGGGCGAGGGGAAGATGAAGCGAAGATGCCCCTTCGGTTCGGGTCATCCTCCCGGCCGCGCCTCCCCTTCCAGCGGCCGAGGGTGCATCCGGACTCTGCCCGGCCGCGGACGCATTGTTCCAAACGGGGAGGCCACAACCCTTTCCGTCCGGCTGGCAGGCACCGGCCGGACCAAGACGTATCGGCAACGGACGGGGAAACGGTCATCGTCTGTCCTTAAGACAATGCGCGATGAAAGCATTAGGTCGAAATAGCCCTCCGCGGCCACGTAGGAGAGAGAGGGAGAGATAGAGAGTAACGGACAAGAACCACGGCCTACCACGGCTGAGCGCGCTGCTGCTGCATCCTCGTTTCTGTCCTGTACTCTGCCAAGTAGCTCGCCCCTTTTTGGTCGTTATACTGTACCGCATACAGGTGTGCGGGTGGCTTGCCTACAGACTCTCACCACGGCGCCAATCGCCCCGTGCGAGTGCGCAACCACTCCGTAGACCTGCATGCGGTAGAGTATAACCAGAAAGGGGCGCGGCTTTTAACAGCAACCTATGTTATGGTTTCAGGTGAAAAGAGTAAAAAACTGTGTAAAAATTGCCTTCTTTTCTCCTTTACCCACGAAGGAAGAAATACTCGGTCCTATGTCGCGCCACGTTAGGTGAGTGGCCCCGACCCTGCCGTCACCCCGTCAGTCAGACGGTGACGTCACAGTGACGCAATGCTGGGAAAATATCGCGTTTAGAAACTGGGTCTACTGTTGGGCCCGCCGCCCACGCCACGCCCCCTCGGATCTTCGACCCGCCCGCTCCGCTCATACCTACACGGTGGAGAGCATGTGCGCCGCGCGCCGCGCTCGGCCCGCGCCGTCCCGCGCTCGTCCGGTCAAGGGGTCAGAGGTCAAAGGTGGAACATTGCTGCCCAGTCAGACAAAATTTCCATAATAATAAAACAAAAATATTTAAAGAACAGCACGTCAGAACGATTAAACAGCGGTCAAGCTAATATCGGGCAGGCGGCAGGGCTACGCATGGTAACGTTGACCCATGCGTTGACCCTTCAGCTCCTAAGCTTTACGAACAAGAAATTGGGAGTCGATAGGCGTGCCCACACAGCCCACTGAGTCGGTGAGGGCACCCCGCCTCCCGCCCCTCGCCAAGCCCACCGGGCACACGGACACACGGGGTGGCTCACGGTGGTGATCTTGTCAGCCGCTCAGTCAGCGGTCCTGGGTCGCCTGGGTCGAGGGAAGCCCCTCACTGCCGGCCGGCACCCTACACTGCCCGCCATGCCGGCCCGGGCCCGGCCGCTGCAGCACCCCCGCACCACCCCAATGATATGACCGAGCGGCGACAACGCTTTGCTTTGCTCCGCTCCGCCACGACACCGAGTCACCGAGTCACCGAGATTCCTCCTTCGCGTGCGCGCCGAGGTGGGTATCGACAGGGCAGACGTGTCGCGGAGACGTGGCGCCGTAAAGACGGCGACGGATCGGCTATTGGATCAGGCGCGTGGCTTCTTAAGGACGGCGGGCGTGGAAGACGGACAACGTGACCACACGCCAGCGCGACAGCCGACAGCGCAGCGCCAGGCACCCCGTCGCACAGTGCCACACAGTGTCACACAGTGTCACACAGTGTCACTCTCCGTGTCATGGTGTCACACTCGCGACCGACTGGGCGACGCAGCTAGTGCTCCGTCCGCCCGTCACCGGCTCGGCGGTGGCGGTGGCCTTCTGGTCGCGTAAAGATCGCAGCCACGCAGATAAAGGGGGTGGCGTTCGAAGAGGACGGGGCACGTCCGTCGCGCTCCCTCGCGCTGCGTCCGCGGGGGCTGCTTCCGAATCGCGAGAAGGGGCGACTTTTTACATGCAGGCCGGCGGCGGGACCAGTAGGACCGACGACACGATCCAGTAGGCACCACCGCGGGAACCGTTATGAAGGATGAGAGGGGAGGGGGAGGGGGCGGCCGCAGTAGCCGGAGCCGGAGAGGGGCACAGAGGAAGGGGTAGGGCCGGCGCACATTGTCAAATACTGGTCCGCCGAGGGCCTGCCAGACACTCGCCGCCCGGTCACCAAGCCGCCATGAAGCCCACGAGAATGCTATTGCACGTAAGTCGGGACGGGAAGTAAAAATGTACCTGGTGTTTCAGAACCCGATGGGAGTAGGCAGACCCGCAACACTGCCGTGTACGCTCTGAAACACCTGGTACATACTAGGTGGCTGATTCACGCCGCGCACTTCTGTAGTTATGCTGTACCAAATGCACGAGTGTGGGCGGGTTGCCTACTCGATCGTCTCGTAAGGCGCCGTATATAGGGGCGATAGGCAAGCCCGAGCCCACCTGCACTCGTGCATGCGGTACACTATACCTACAGAAGTGCGCGGCGTGAATCAGCCACCTGGTACACTCTGTTAGCATGGTCGATTTTATTTCGGAAGCACAATGATCACATCCATTTTGTCTCTTTCGGAACAACTTACATTAATGTTTGCTCAGCACGAGCCGAAGCGGTCATCTTTGTTTTATTCCTTACAAGAGAACCCGGTCACTGCTCGGCCAACGTAAGTGTGATGCTAAATGTTGAGCAAAGGGTCGAAGGAAGAGCCTGTAGACAACGCTCATCAGAGCAGGTAGGATAGGGGAGTCGAGGTAAGTTTGGTAAGTTAAAAAGAAAGGACAAGCAAAACAAAAGCACGAAACGGGGTCAGTGGTGACGTCGGAGTGGCGATGTGGACAAAGTGATCCAAGTTGAAGTCAGATCGAGGCAGGAGGGTTACTTCCGAAGTCTGTTCGGACCTAAAGATAACCCGCCCCATCCGTTCTCCCCCAGGCCACCCTCGCACTGGCGGCGACCGTCGCAGCCCTGGAGCCGCCGGCGCCCCCAGCCAAGCCGTCCTCCATGTTAGGTGAGCAGCCCTTGTAGGGTGCGTAGTGTGAGCAGAGAGGGTGAGCGCCCGAGTAGCCTTACGACGACACCCTCCTCCACGCAGCGGCCGAGGGGCGCGATGCCATTCCTGACATCCCGGACCTCCAGGATGTGGACAGCGAGGCCGAGGCGAGCGACACCAAGATGTTGGCTGCCGCCGGGGGCGCAGGCGCCGCCGCGGCGCACGGACACGGCAAATTCTTCCAGTGAGTACGCCACCACCCTGGGTGCAAGCTGTGCAGGGCCCTGTTGTTCGACCTGACGACGCTGCGTAGGGACTTCTACTCGCTGCAGTACGGGCCGCGCCAGGTCGAGTTCGGCCACGTGTGCGAGGACCCCAACGAGTGGGAGCAGCGGTTCGAGCGCAAGGACATGGACAAGGACCACCACCAGGGGCAGGTACATGCCGCTCATGTTTTGCGGTGCTTTTCACGCTGACTCGGTGGTTGCCTTTGTGGTGAAAATTCTTCCTCATATCTATCAGTCCTTCATGCTGTCGCGGACGCGGTGATCGCTCGCTCTTCTTGGGTCTATCCCCGCTGTGCTGCGGGCTGCTGAATGAGGTGTGCGTCGCCCTGCTTGTCTGTCTGTCTGCCTGTCCGCCCGCCTTGCCCCTTGCGCAGGTACGGCCACCACGACGGCAAGGATCACTATGAGAACGGCTTCCGGCGCGGCAACGAGCACCACTTCCACGAGCGGCACGAGAAGGGCGCACCCAAGCACGGGCACTTCACCACCAAAGTAAGACACGGCAGCGGTGCTGGTGCTGGGCTGAGAGGGACAAACAGCAAAATCATTCGGTAGGCACGCGGTGAGTAAACTAATCTTTCGCCGTCCGCGCCCGCGCCATCTCTCGCGGACTGTCAGGCTGAGCTGCAGAACCGCGGGCGTTTGAAACTCCGCCGTCATCGCATCATCGCATCGCCGAGTTGCGCACGCTGCCGGTTCATCACCAGTCACGCGGGAACGAATCGGAAAGCGCCGTGCGCCGGGTCCAACGCTCCAGGAAGAGCGCCTCCCAGCGCCGCGCGCGCCCAACGCTGAGCCGTGGCCGAGCCACCACGCCACGCCGCGCATATTTGGATTTGTTTAGCGCCGCCGACCGCTTTGTCTTAATAATGGCGTGCTTGTCGTCCCGGCCGGGCCGGGCCGACGGGGGAGTGAGGTAACTAGTTCTTGCACGCGAGCGAGTGGGCGACCCGCCCAGGGCGACCCGCCCCGCCCGGGACATGTCGTGCTCATCGCGTGCAGCTGATGCGCCGGGCGGCCAATGAGACAAACTAAACTTGGGCCGCCGCTTCCTGCAGCGAGTCGTCTGACGGCATCGTCGTCCGGAGGGTGCCATGGCGATGGTGGAGGTCCCGGTGCGCCCCCACCTACCCCTACCCCCTACCCCCTTGTACAGCGTCTGTTGTGATTCTAGGTGCGCTGGGGAGATAAGCACGGAGGCTACGGCGAGCACTACTGGGACTACAACCATGGCGGTCACCATGACGGCGGTGACGTAAGTGTCCGAGTCCCGTCGGTTTGACCAGTGCGACCGCGTTCTAATGTATGTGTATTGACCTCTTCAGGGCGGCGATGGCGGAGGCGGTGGCGGCGGCGAGGGGGTGAGTAGACAGGTCTAGACAGGTGCGGCCGTTCAGTAGGAGCGACGATTCGCAGATTGACGCCCTTCGTCTGGCCCGCAGAGCGCGCCGATTCCTGACATTCTGGAGCACCCCGACGACGAGCGCCGCCCGCAGTTCAAACGTCAGTCCGCCTTCGACCAGGCTGGCGCGGCGTCCACGACGGGCGCCGAGTCACCGCCGGGGAGGAGCCGCGCCTACCGCAAGAAATACGTCCGGCCGACGACCACCCCCGCGACCCCGACTCACCCCGTGCCGAAGGCCAGGACCACGCCGAGACCGCAGCCCTACCGCCAGCCGCCGCCGCCACCCACGGCCGGAACCGGAGCCCCGATGCACGCCAGAAACACGAAGTCCGCTGCCTTCTTCACCCCCGACTTCCCTCCGGGCGGCATGTTCCAGAGCGCAGCGGCAGCCGCGGGCCTCGGGCCGAGGGCAGCGCGACAAACACAGACGGAGGGTTCTACGGCGCAGGCGCACGCTGCCAAGGCGCAGCCGAAGGGACCGGCCAAGGGACAGCCAAGTGGACAGACAAAGTTGCAGCCAAATGGACCACCCAAGGGACAGGGTGCCCCAGGGCCGGGACAGGTCGCCGCCGCCCTCGTGCGTCGGCTAGCGTTCGACCCGCGGACTGGCAGAGTGCACGACGAGGACACGGGCCAAGTATTCGTGCTGCAGCCAGTCAGCTGAGCCAGCGCATATGTTTACTCACTATTTATATTTTTGTAATTAGACTCACCTTATCTGAGCAATGCGATTTGTTTTCGATCGATCTCGGATTTACCTGTAT